ATATTTATAAATGAAATATATATTTATATTATACATACCTACCTATATGATATTGTGATTAAATACGCGTCCTAAGTAGTAATAGATTAATTGTACAATATAATTAGGGTACCTATTAATTAATATTATTTATGTTAAAGAGGTCAAAGTCGATGCATTAGAATTAATGTATTGTTTATTAGAATATTGTAATAGTTATAACTAATAACACATTTTTTATTAAATATAGATTTTTAACAAATATAAATTCTTAATAACGGCAAAGTGCCAAACGTAAAAGTGTCCCTGTCATTGTGTCAGTCATTCTTTTAGAAAACAAAAAAAAATTAGAAGAAATTAAACAATATTACCACACATTAAAGAATTCAAACTAAAATGTCCAGATTCTTAAACAGATAACACTATTTAAAATAATTAGTGCAGGTTATCAATGCAAGATTTTGAAAAATTCTGTCAAAATTCGATGTTTAAATGCTTATAAAAAAAATTGTGCCTATGTATTTTTAATATTTTTCAACTGATATTGTAACAATATACCAGGAGTCTTGTATTAAATTTTTACACTTTTTTGCCCAACAGATAAAACTTTATTGATATTCATAGAAAAAAAGGTGGGTAAGTGGATGTCGCTCTGCTGTACAGTAGGTTACAAGTGGGTCACTGTATAATTGATGCTATTAAATTTGAATTCAATGATACAATATCATTGTATAAGAAAAACGATTCTGAGCGAAGACGGTATGTCAGTCTAGGTTAAGACAAATTATATACATATCTATGGTATTAAAAAAAAATTGACCTATAATAAATTCCAAATTAATCATATCACATTATCACAATATCCATTAGGTACTAATAACACGTTATACACCAACAACAAACCCTGATACTATCATATATATATAATAGTACACTTTAGAAGTTTCAAGTAGGTACCAACGAATAATATTATATAATCACAACAAAATAACTAGGTTTTTTAATATGTAATTTCGTCAAAATTTGAACATAAAATGACTATAAAAATAAACTGTGATTGTATATTTTTTAGATTTTTCGGTAAGAGAATTAACTACTTACGTGGAATCTTGTTTTAAATTTTCAATCCTTAGCTATAAAAACTGAACATTTTATAATTTATTAATTACGATGATTAATAATTTTCGAGATTTTGAAAAATTCTGTCAAAATTCGATGTTAAAATGCTTATAAAAAAAAATTGTGCCTATGTATTTTTAATATTTTTCAACTGATATTGTAACAATATATCAGGAGCCTTGTATTAAATTTTTACACTTTTTGGCCCAACAGATAAAACTTAATTAATATTTATAGAAAAAAAAACTAAAAAAATTGAAAACTGAAAATGTCCGTAAACGGCTCAAAAAGAGTCAAAATATTTTCAAAATTGTATGGTGTATAGGAAATGCTAATATAAACATTCAGTGAAATTTTCATGTATCTACAGTAATTCATTTTTTAATTACAACAAAAAAAGGAAATTGCCACATGAGAAATCGAGTGAATATCCAATGTTGTAAAAATTTGAATTTCAAACGCTCATAAAAATTTAATTTGACTTTCCGGTAGAGATTTTTTATTGATAAAGGTAGACAATCTTATGAGTAATCTTGTATTAGATTTTCAAATCTTAGATTTAAAAAGAAAAATTTTTACGAATTCTTAACTCAAAATAATTTGCTAATTTTCGTGATTTTTCCATATTTTGTCAATTTTTGAACTTTAAATGCTTATAAAAAAAAATTGTGACTAAGGATTTTTAATATTTTTCATCTGCCCTTGAAACAATATATTAGGAGCCTTCTATTAAATTTTCAAGCTTTCGCAACCAACAAATAAAATTTTATTGATATTTCTAGAAAAAAAACTAAAAAAAAACTAAAAATGAAAATGTCCCTAAACTGTTCAAAATAAATCAAAATATTTTGAAAATGTTATCGTGTATAGAAGATGCAAATATAAACAACCAGTGAAAATTGCATGTACCTACGGTCATTTGTTTTAAAGTTACACCAAAAACCAAATTCAATTTTCTGAAAAATCGATTTTGCGTAAAAATTCCCGTTTTTCCTTAATTTTTCTTTTGTTTTTCCCGGCGCTCTTGAAAACTACTGGGAAATTTAAATTTTGACCTCCCCAATGCACCAACGATATTCACTTTCCAATCGAACAAGATACTGAAGTCGAAAATCGAAGCATTATTTCGACTACTTATCGTGTACACAGACACAAAAAAAATAAATATAAAAATAAAAAATAAAATAAAAAAATAAAAAAAAAAACACACATCATTGTAAAATCAATACATTCATCGTTTCACTCAGAATCTAAAAAACTAAAAAAATTGAAAAATGAAAATATCCGTAAACAGCTCAAAAAGAGTCAAAATATTTTCAAAATTGTATGGTGTATAGGAAATGCTAATATAAACATTCAGTGAAATTTTCATGTATCTATAGTTATTCGTTTATGAATAACAACAAAATAAGGAAATCGCTACATGAGAAATCGAGTGAACATCCAATGTTGTAAAAATTTGAATTTCAAACGCTCATAAAAATTTAATTTGACTGTCCGGTAGAGATTTTTTTATTGATAAAGGTAGACAAACTTATGAGTAACCTTGTATTACATTTTCAAATCTTAGTTATAAAAAGAAAAATTTTTACGAATTCTTAACTCAAAATAATTTGCTAATTTTCGTGATTTTTCCATATTTTGTCAATTTTTGAACTTTAAATGCTTATAAAAAAAAACTGTAACTAACGATTTTTAATATTTTTCATCCGCCTTTGAAACAATATACTAGGAGCCTTTTATTGAATTTTCAAGTTTTTTTAACAGACCAATACAATTTTATTGATATTTCTAGAAATAAAACTAAAAAAAAATGAAAAATGAAAATGTCCCTAAACAGTTCAAAATAAATCAAAATATTTTGAAAATGTTATCGTGTATAGAAAATGCAAATATAAACAACCAGTGAAAACTTCATGTATCTACGGTCATTTGTTTTAAAATTACACCAAAAACCAAATTCAATTTTCTGAAAAATCAATTTTGCGTAAAAATTCCCGTTTTTCCTTAATTATTCTTTTGTTTTTCTTGGCGCTTTTGAAAAGTACTGGGTATTTTAAATTTTGACCTCCCCAATGCACCAACGATATTCACTTTCCAATCGAACAAGATACTGAAGTCGAAAATCGAAGCATTATTTCGACTACTTATCGTGTACACAGACACAAAAAAAAATAAATAAAAAAAAAAACACACATCATTGTAAAATCAATAGATTCATCGTTCCACTCAGAATCTAAAACATACTTGGAAACATAAAATATGACAATGGAATAACTAATTAATATAATTTAATAATTAGGTACTAATTTACAAATGTATTATTGCCATATAGGTATATTTGCAAATAATTGCTCGTCACATGGAAAGGACTTCCGATTTTTACACGATTCTCCGCGAAAAGAAACGAATCCTACGCGTATACTCACCCTTGTTTTTTATTTATAAACCCTTTCTTCAAATTGCATCTTTCCGATCATCAATTATTCATGAACCTGTTTACTACCTCATCTGTTCGAGCCTATTGGTATTTTACAGTGGGCGACGCTTTTTATTCGGCGCTTTTTAACCTGTTTATTCGGTATTTCATAATATTATGTGCATAATTTCTCGTTGGTGTTTCCGAGAACTTATATTAACAAATTGTCCTACGCGGCTACGCCTATCTTAAATCTAAATGGTTATTTAGCCTTTTAAAGATGACTTGTAAGATGTTACTATTTATTATTATTATAAGCTAATAAGCTATCACGTTGGACATCGGACTAGTTTTTGTATAATATTGTGTTTATTAATTACCCATAACATAGAACAAGAACACTTGTTTTAAATATTATACTTATTAGATATTTTTTTATTATTTTTGTAGTAGGTAGGTACTTTTTATTGTTTTAAATAGATAATGATCAAAAATAATTTATTATATTCATGGAAATATTTTGAAATTTTTAATTATTATTATTTTTAATTATTCTGTTCTAAGACAAAATAAGAAATGTAACAGAAAAAATTAATTCTGATTTAAATACATTTTGAATGTATAGGTACATTTAGTATACTAGTATACAATATATTGTACAAAATAGGTATTGTGGAATATCATATTTTTTTTTTTATAGATTATCTATGTGAAATATGCATAGACCTTCGTATATTATATGGAAATATTCATAAATGTTTTCAAAGTGGGGAGTCGTATCACTCTATTTTATCTGTTATAATAGATAACAATGTCACAATGATAACGGTATAACGACGTCATGGCTATAAAGCCATTCGTTATTGGTAGTTTTTTTGAATTTTAAAAACTTAAAATAATAATTTATACATATCACTACCTATTTAGTTTTTACTATTTTTATTTTTGTTATTCATCCAAATTGTTGAAATTAGAAGTTAGAATTATCGTCTATCATAGATTTGGAGACAGTCGGAAAGAATGTCATATTTTGTAGGACAGACTTAATTGTTAGTGAACAATGGAGATATAGAGATCATAATTTGTTTTCAATATAAATCAATGTTTTGATAAATATTTTGAACTTTGAAAGGCAATTAGATTTGAGTTACAAACACCTGCACTATTTATATGTAGACATTATAAATAAAATAACAAGTAAGGTCAGTACATCATATTTTAATCTATTATGTGGTTATATTAACAGTGAAAAATAATTGTTTCATTATTTTTATCTACTTAAACAGCAAATAAACACAAATGTTTAACTAAACAGTAAACATTTTACTATCAAAGTATCAACTCTCTATCAGATGTACTTTTATGAACTGTTAATATGCTTACCAATTAAATGCGTTTCTACCGAATGTAGCTACATATTATTACTTATATTTTTTTCTGTTTAGTGTAATTTAATTAAACATCAAAAGTTAACTTATTTACAATGAAACGGAAAACCAAATCTGGAAATGTATATACATCAATCATGCTTGAAAATGCAATTTATAAACTTCCAAAATGTAGTAAAAACACATTTTTTTCACTACTTACCATTCTGTTGTTGATGTCTGTTTTAATATATCTATATATGAGTGACAGTGAAAACATATTAGAAAATAGTAATATTTCAAGGAAATATCTTAAACAAAAGATTAATATTGGTTCTAATCATGGAGTTGATAATTACTGTACAGTAACTTCGGACAAATATAAATTTGATTGTTTTCCGAGAGGAAAAGCTGATAAGGAAAGCTGTGAAAAAAGAAATTGCTGTTGGTCACCTACTACTCAAAATTCTCAAATACCGTGGTGTTATTATTCTTCAAATTATAGTAATTACAAAGTTATTAATGTGACTGAATCCAGAAATGAAATAACAGCATTTTTTAACATAACGACAAACACCATTTATAAAAATGACATCAAAGTATTGTGCATGGATATTTCATTTCAAACGGCACAACGATTACATGTTAAGGTAACAAACAATTTTCACTTAGCAAATTAGCATTTTAATATAAAATAAAATGTATTTTATAATTTGTATTATTATTATTGTTATAAATGTTTCACTTAGCTAATTTAATTTTTGTAAATTTAATACCAATTATATTATTTACTTATTTAATTATCTAGATTTATGATCCAGAGAATAAACGTTATGAGCCACCATACCCTGAAATACCAATACTTAAATTAAATAATACAAATGAACCATTAGTTTCAGACTATATTGTAAAGTTATCTGATGATAAAGTTGGATTTGCAGTTCTAAGGAAAATTGATAATTTAACCATGTATGTATTTTACAATTTGTGGTTTATATGTTGTTTTATTAATAATTAATTGAATTCATTAAATCTATATTTTTTTTTTTTTTTTTTTGAATCTAGATTTGACAGTCGAAATATTGGAGGTTTCATTTATTCTGATCAATTTATTCAACTTTCAGCATTATTACCGACCAAATATATATATGGGTTAGGTGAACATAGATCTAGCCTTATGCTTGATATGAATTGGAAAACCTATACTTTTTTCAACCATGATAGTCCTCCAACAAATGATGTAAGTTAATATTGTTATGCAGCTTATTACATTACAATATAGACATTTATGTTTTTTTCAGATGAATGGATATGGTTCACATCCGTTTTACTTAATGATTGAAAAATCAGGAAAAAGCCATGGAGTTTTTTTATTGAACAGCAATGCTATGGGTATGAAATAATTTATTAAACCTTCAGATAATAAGTAAATAACCAACATCATCACCGAAAATTCAGTTAGGAAATAAGCCATATTGGTTTATGTTTACATTTTACTAATATTAATGGATGTCCAAGAGCCTTTTGAATCCAATTTTTTTGTTATTATTATAAATTATCTTTTATTTTCCAGTCTAGGAAATCAGCTATCTAGTTGTTATTTCCGTACAGAATAATTCTTTTAACAGTAAATACTCAATGTAAAATTGTCTTAAAAGTACATTAAAAATAGGATGAAGAAAACTTGAAATACAATAAATTCTAACATTTTGGTTTCTTTTATTTATTTTTACCTACATGTTTGTTGTACCACTATTAACTATTGAATTTTAATTTCATAATCTGAAGCTGACATTTTTCTGAAAATTATAATGTATGAATATTGAACTAATAGGTTATATTTATGAGAATTTAAAGTTAGGGTAATTTAATTCAAAATATATTAAATCTATCATACAATATTATTATTACCACTACATTCTTATTGTAGTAGAAATTAATTCATCTATTCTTTCTAAACTTACAATGAACCTTATTAACCTAACATTTTAGGGACTACTAAATCATCTGTTTCTAGCTTAAAAATGTGGGCCCTTATTTATTTAGTGCATAAACACTATTTTAGTTATATATCTCAAAGTGAATTCATTAGGAGTTTGTTGTTTATTACTAAATACATTAATATTTTTGTTTTAGATATTGTGTTGCAACCGACACCAGCAATCACTTACCGAACAATTGGTGGTATATTAGATTTTTATTATTTCATGGGACCAACACCTTCTGATGTTATATCTCAATATACAGATACAATTGGTACATCATTTTTACCATCTTACTGGGCATTAGGATTTCATTTATGTCGGCAAGTGTTACTCAATAACATTTAAAAATTTTAATTAATTAATTAAACAATTTTTAGATTTGGACAAACGTTAAAAGAACTTATTAACGTTCATAATAGAACTGTTAGTGCAGGAATTCCTTGGGTAAATTACTAGTTTACATATTGTAAAATACTTTTAAATTACTAATAGACATTAGTTAGTATTTTTCTTCTTATTATTATTATTCTTACATAAAGTTATGATTTATTTTATTTTTAGGATACACATTGGAATGACATTGATTATATGAAAAATAGAAATGATTTCACTTTAAGTGATAATTTTACTGATCTTCCTAAATATGTGAATTATTTGCATGAGGTATTATAGAATTTCTTATATTTGTTAAACGTAGGAATTGTATACATTAATTTTATCTTTAAAGGTTGGAATGCATCATATAATTATATTGGATCCTGGAGTATCTTCTCGTGAACCAAAAGGATCATATCCACCTTATGATGATGGTTTAAAAAATGGGCTTTTCATTAAAAATTCTTCTGGTCTCCCACTTGAAGGCCAAGTAAGTTTTTCCTATTTAAATATTCTTTATGTTTATAATTTGCATAAATAATTTTAGGTGTGGAACCTTGATGGAGGTACTGTATTCCCAGATTTCACCAATCCAAAGTCAATCGATTATTGGATAAATCAAATATCCAACTATCATAATATTCTTCCGTTTGATGGTTTATGGATTGTTAGTATTATAATATTGTGTATTTTAACCAAATATTACAGTTCTGTCTTTAATTCATAATATCTAATTATAGGACATGAATGAACCATCAAATTTTGTCAATGGTGATTGGGAAGGTTGCAAATTTACCAATTCTAGTAGTTGGGAAAATCCACAGTATACACCTAGTATTGCTGGAGGAAAATTAAACTATAAAACTATTTGCATGTCAGCAAATCAGCACGCTGGACTTCATTATGATTTACATAATCTTTATGGATTTTCAGAAGCAATAACAACTCAATTGTAAGATTCACAATCGATTACATTATAAAGTAGAAACTTTTTATTTCATAATAAACTGAAAAAAAATATATACTTTAAACTTTAGTGCATTATCAGTTGTTAAAAATTCAAGACCATTAGTTATTTCAAGATCAAGTTTTGCTGGCTTAGGTCACTTTGCCGGTCATTGGACTGGAGATGTATTTTCTACTTGGGATGATATGAAACAATCTATTACTGGTAATTTATTTAAAACTCATAATTTTTGTGATCATGCAGTATGTGTTCTACCTGGAGTAGGCATACCAAGACTGAGGTCTACCATATCGACAATATTTATCAATCTATAATGTGTCTCTACAATAATTACCTGTGTTCATAACATTTGGGGGTAAAAAGGTTAGGGGGCTAACATTTTTAACATCATTGTGAGCGGGGGGATTCAATCCCACACAACTAAAAACTGTACATTTTTTTTTTTTGGGGGGGGGGCGCTAAGCTACCAATGTCCATGCTGTGAATAGTTAAATTTAATTAATTATACATTTAGACTTTTTTTTTCAAGTATAGTGACATTATTAATATAAAGATACTATTTTTGACATACTCAAAAAAAAAAGTAGGTTGCCAGTTATATTATTTATTTATCTATTGATATTTAAATTTTATTTTTAATTGTAAGGCACAATATAGGTGTTGGAAAAATCGCAGGTGAGCCATCAGCAGTTTACTGAATTGTGTTCTGATTGGCTCATTAACGTTTAGCCATTCCTCTGAGCTGGTAATTATGATGATTAACCGGTTACAATGAATGCTTGTCATAACATATATAACTAGCTACCGGTTAAAACGAGAAAACTAGCCAGCCCTTGAAACTCATTATAACCGATATCTACTGTAATTGTAATACTATGGGTAGAGTTAGAGTGTATACTGCATTCATAATAGCATTGGCAGATTGCATACTGCATTCATGATTTAATTGAAATACTCATGTTTTTTTTATTAATTATTGCATTATACAATATATTTTATTTTAGATATTGTACTTTTCAACATGTTTGGTGTTCCACTAGTTGGAGCTGATATATGCGGTTTTAATGATAATACTACAGTTGAACTTTGTTCACGTTGGAGTCAATTAGGTGCATTTTATCCATTCTCAAGAAATCATAATTCTGATGAAAATTTTGTATGTATTAATTTTAATAGTTGTACGTTTATTTGATAAAATAATTTAATTAAATTTTTCATACTTAAGGATCAAGATCCTGTGGCTTTAGGACCATTGGTTACAGAATCAGCTAAAAAAGCACTATTAATTCGATATTCATTACTTCCATATTTGTATTCTCTATTTTGGAGAGCACATATTTATGGCGAAACAGTTGCACGACCACTCTTTTTTGAGTAAGTATATTTAGTTTTTTGCATTACTGAATTTAATGATCTTGAAAGATAAATAGTAAAAACAATAAAATTAATATTATAGATATCCACATGATAACTGTACTTACAACATTGATACTCAATTCCTATGGGGTTCTGCTCTACTGATTTCGCCGGTTTTAAAAGAGGTTTGGTTATTATAATTTGGTTTGCAATAAAGTATTTAACATGTAAATTATCTAAATGTTTTTAGAATCAAGTGGTTATAGACATATATTTACCAAATGATATATGGTGTGATTATTATACTAAAAAATGTACTCAAAGTAATGGATCCATTTTCACTGTTGAAGCCCCTAATGATACTATTCCACTTAAGATACGTGGTGGCTATATTTTACCAACTCAAGATCCAGCTACTACGACTACATCTAGGTATATTTTCCTTGTGCATTTTATTCCTATGTACTTGACAGACAAGGGGGGGTAAACCCCCAAACCCCCCCTACGTTCGCTCCTGTACTTGACATGTAAGGTTAGATTGGAAGTAGAAATTATGATATGTTACAAAACATATATTTGCCTTAATTTGTTTATTAATTTAATTTTAAACATATTGTATCAATATTACATAAAAATTATTTAATTTAAATTATAGCCGTAAAAATACATTTGGACTATTAATTACGCCAAACAAATTTAAAGAAGCATTTGGCTACTTGTTTTGGGACGACGGTGACTCTTTAAGTAAATAATAATAAAATTATTTCTTCCTGCTGTATTTTATATTAAACTATTTTTTAAGATGTATGGGAAAATGGGTTGTATAATGAAATCCATTTCAAACTAAACAACACAATATTGTTAAATGAGGTTATCACCAATAATTATTCAGATGAAAAGACTATTTTACAAAATATTACTATTTTTGGTATTCATAATGAACCAAAAAATATTCAAGTTAATGGAGCCACATATAGTAATTTTTATTATAATACGACTGAAGAAGTGAGTACTGATTATTACATTTTGTTCTAATAAATTAATTTCGATTTTTATAACTGTTAAATTATTATTATTTTTATCAGTTTTTAGAGGATGTCACCACACTATTTGTTTTCTCTCTCTGGCCCACATACAACATAGAAAAAACGCATTTACGCAGAATCGTTTTTTCTATGTTTTTAAGTAATCTTTGAGTAAAATCATTCATCACAGAAAGAAGATAATAATATTTTTGAGGGAATGACTATCGATTTGTCTAAATATTGTTTCGAAATAATTTAAACATCATTTAAATTGACAAAATTTTTTTTGTTTATTTTGAACGTCGAATACAAATTCATATAACAATAAAATATAAAATTGATATGTCACTCCCTCAAAAATATTATTCTGTATCTTTTTTGTTTTTTCTATGTTGCATGTGGGCCAGAGAGAGCGCTGACATCCTCTTAAAGCTTTTAGTTAAAATAATTTTGATAAATACTTTAAGTAGTATGCAAGGCTGGGCAAGTTAATGTTTTTTTTTAACTCGTTAAGTTAAGTTATTTTAAAATAATTAAGTTAAGTTAAGTTAAAAGTTACTCGTATTTTTTATCGTTAACTCGTTAAGTTAAAAGTTAACTTTGAAAAAAAAGTAACTTAACTTAGTGTAAAGTTAAAATTTGCTAATTTGCAAAAATAGAAAAAATCAGACACATAATGTGGTTTATTAGATAGTTTTTCTTTACGTCTAAGAAAATTACTGGGGAAATTTAAAATGATACATCAAAGTAAAAACACATTAAAAAATTTACATTATTCTTCAGAAGAAAATTAACTTAATTTGGATATTTTTGAAATAAAATTAACTTGAAGCTAACACGTTAATCTTGAAAAAAAGTAACTTATTAAGTTAAAAGTTAATTTGAAAAAAAAAGTAACGAGTTAATTAACTTAATTAAAATTAACTTAACGTTTTAACTTAATTTTAATTTTTAACTCGTTAATGCCCAGCCTTGGTAGTATGTAAGTACCTAATATTATATATATTTTATTTTTTTTACAGGTCCTTTACTTCTTATCATTAAACTTGGACTTGAATATAGTTTTCAATATAACATGGACTTAAATATTTATTCAAACATATTTCATAAAATTGTATACTATATTTTTAGGTAAACCTATTTTATATACTAAATTAAATAATTGTGAAAAAATATTAAACTAGATTATTAAAATTATTCTTTTATTAATAAACTGATATCATTGATTTCACTTTGATTTAATATCCATGTTTGTGTTTTTAACTTTAATAAGATAATAATGATGCCCTTTGTACTGTTGATTTTATCCAATTATGTACATACTTTGTTTTTCTATCAATATATGGTAACTATTGTGCTTATTGTGCTTATTACTATATAAAATATAAATTAAAATAAAAAGTTAAAATGTTGATTAATAATGTAACTGAGCTATAGTTCTTTGTAATTCATTCAACTACTTTCTTTCATAAATGTTTAAAACTTAAGTCTATTTATTTTATTTTGTTTTTATTTAAATTTATACATTTATTGTTAACTTGTGTAGTTTTTTTGTTCAATATGCACTTAAAATATGACAATATCAACGTCTTCATATTACCATTTCTACAATTGTTATTCTTATTACATATGTATTACTGTCATTCAATACCAAATGAACTAAAGTTTGATTGTATACCTAAAGAAAAGTCTGATGAGGTAACCTGCAAAAGAATGAACTGTTCCTGGACACCGGCAAACCAAACTTTTACTCAATGGCCGTGGTGTTATTATCCAGAATGTTATAATAATTATAATACAATTAATATATCTAAGACAAGTACTGGAGTAGTAGCGTTTTATAATTTATCAGTGGCTTCTAGTTACAAAAAAAATATACAAATCTTGCGTCTAGATGTTATTTTTGAAACACCACAAAGACTACGAATTACGGTACCTATAAATCTTTATTATAATTATTAAAAACAATAATGAAAATTAAACTGAAATATAGTCACCCATTTAAGAAAAATATATTAAAATCCCATGTGAGGTTAGTTTATTTTAAACATAAGTGTTATTGTAATTACCTACTAATTATATAACTTGTAAATAATTTTGATATAATTATTTAATTTTTTATAGTACATATTGGCCATTAATTAGTCATAGGGCCAGGGGTATCAAGGGGGGAGGGGCTGCATGTTTGGAAACTAATTGATTAGAACTCTAAACATATGGAAAATGAAATTAGAGAATGCTAATGTGTAGGAAAATAATTTATCTTATATGCTCCCTCTAGGGGTACTTTTGCCACCCTGAAATAATAATATATTAGAAAAAAAATAACTAAATGGAAGATTTTTTGGTATCCCAGAATTTTGACTATCTAGTGAAGCCCATGCCATAAGCTATATTTTAAAGAACAAGTATTTTAAGTTAATTATAAGTTAATTAATATTGTTATGTTAATTTGTATTCTTATAAAAAAAAAAACATTTATTGAGAGGCAATTATGAACAGTGCCGGATCCAGGGCTTAATTTTTTGTTTTTTTTTTTTGTGGGGGGTTATGGAGGGGGCAAAATTACAAAAAGTACATACATTTGCTACAAAATTGGCTAAACACAGTGTAAAACAAAGAGAAACTAAGGTGATTGGGGAGAGGGGCAAATGCCCCCTTAGCCATGCCCCTGGATCTGCAACTGACTATGAAAATATAGAGTAGGTATGTATATTTTAAAATAATCTTTGTTTTTGTTTTAGATTCTGAGCAGAACGACGAATGTATTAATTTTACAATGATGTGTGTTTTTTTTACTATTTGTGTCTGTGTAAACTTGTAAAAGTATACACGATGATAACTATAAAGTCATTAGTCGTAATAATGCTTCGAGCATTTCTACTTCAGAGTAATTTCAGTAGATCTAGTTCACTAGTTGGTAACTTACTTTGTGGTGTAAAAATTAAAAAATTCCTATTAGTTTCCAATAGCGAAAACCCAAAAACCAACATTAAGGAAAAACCTGCATTTTTACGCAAAACCCGTTTTCGACCGAATTGATTTAGTTTTTGTTATGTAATTCATAAGCTAATAACCGTAGATAATTTAAGTATTTAAAAATATTAATAAAATCATTTTCCATACTTGATAACATTTTCAAAATATTTTAAGCTATCTATATGACCATGTGAAAATTATGATTTTTAATTATTTTTTTCAATTATTGTAGATAAATAATTTTTCGCTTGATCAAAAAGCTATATGTAATACAAGGGTTCTCATAAGTTATTATAATGGCAGTTGAAAAATATAATTTGTAACATTATTATTCGTAAATCGTAAGTAATTGAAACTTTTAAAGTACCTACTACAGTACTACTTACCTATGTTATTATATTTTATGAGTTATAAGTATTTTAAGTTTGGATGAGCGGAGTAGTGGTCAGTGGACAAACATTTCGATGGGTAACCCCTTAACACTCCGCTCCACAACCAACTCACCACTTCACTCATCAAAACTTTAAATACTTATAGGTTAGGTATAACTCATAAACTACTTGCCTTAAATTCGATTTGCCTTAAATATAATTTCTTAATAAAAACGTTGTTTTGTAAACAAATTGAAAAAAAAATGTAGTATTTACTATGGGTATTTTGCTTATTGTATTGTTGTACCTATTGAATATTTGAATACCTAATACCTAGAATAAATTAAAAGTTTGGTTTTAGTACCTTCCATCACGATGATTGTATATTATGTTATAAATTCCCATTATCAAAAATATAAGTATTTTTATAGTAGGTAGGTACCTCACTATGTATAGGTAATTTTAAATCAACTATCAACAACTTAAATTATAGTATATTACATTATTAGAATTATTTGATTATATTTTGGAAAATTTTTTCATAGAAAAGTATCATTGGTTTAATATTAAAAACAAAAATTAAAAAGTACCTATTTTGAAAGTATTTGGAATACTTTTGAAGTATTTAAAAATTAAAATACTTTATTCGGAATAGGTACTATTTTTATGAAGTACCTATTTGAATACATATTCTGAATACTATTTTTCATAAGTATTTGAGTATTTATTCCTAATATTTTTTAAAAGTATTTTATCCAAGTCTGTATATTATATAATATATTATGGCTTAGTTTCAACTTTCAATAACGGGTATATTCATTACCCGGCTAATTTACGAATTAAACGTTCTATAAATAATATTTTTACTTTATCTAAAAAATGGATCCAACTAGATTCACTTTCGGCTTTCCCAAAAAGATAAGATACCGAAGTTGAAAATCAAAGCATTATTTCGACTACCTACTTATCGAATACACAGACAAGTAGACAACTATAAAAAAAACTATAAGCTATAAACACCTCCCCCCACAATTCTCAAGGATCCAGCAGTTTTTGATTCTATATTTCTATACCTAACAGACTGACAAACAACATTAATTTTGTTTTATAAATATAGACATACCTATAGCAAACTGCTAACCTATCCGCATGACTTGTAAATTAATAAATTACATAGGTACCTACCACATAGGTACCTAGTTATTAATAAAATTATTATATTAAATTATTATATATTTTATAGTTCATTATTCATTATAAATATAATACAATTACCATATATTTATGTTAGATTGTATATTTCTATGAAACAATTAAAAAAATATATATTTATTATTTATAGATTGATGATGCTGTTCAAATACGTTACAAGCCGCCCTTTCCAAAAATTAACGAGTTTAAAGGAAACCCCATTCATCGAAATGATAGTTTGATAATATCCGATTTAGTAGTAAGACTTGCTAAGAACGGGGTTGGATTTGCTATTATTCGTAAGACGGATAATACAATTTTGTGAGTATCTCCCATACTGTAAAACCTTACCTACAATATAATATACCTATATATATATATATATATATAATTTTTTACAGATTAGTTAAGATTATCAAATAAATGAAAACTAGGTACTACGATTTGTATATTTTTTAAAATTCCAGGTTTGATAGTCGAAATATTGGGGGTTTTATATTTTCTGATCAATTTATTCAATTATCGGCTTTACTACCCTCAAAGTACATTTATGGATTGGGCGAACATAGAACTAATTTGGTCTTGGATTCAAATTGGAAAACATATACAATGTTTAATCATGACAATACTCCAAAACCTGACGTAAGCATATTTTTTATTTTTTTCGGGACGACGGACATTGCTGGGATCGCTGCTCTCTGCTGGTCGCTTGGTAGTTGGCTGTTCTTCAAGAGTTTTTTTTCAATTACTTAAAAGTTTTAATTGGTTGAAGGATGTGAGTTATTTGAGAAGTGGCTATCTGTATATTTTGAATACCTATATTGGATATATATTTTCTGTCGCGTTATTGCCACAATGCGGCCTATACCTACTACCTAATTGTTATATCTGTTTTTGTGCGTGGATGGTTTTATCGGGTTTTTGTTCTTCATTGGTGATCTTCAAAACTGAAAAAGACTGTTCTCTATAGTCTATGCTCTATAGTATAGTTCTCTAGTATGCACTTGTTACTGCACAAAACATACGGTATTAGACCTACAACTAGACCCAGGGCCGTCCTGACGATTTGCAGGGCCCAGGAAAGAGTAAAATTGCAGGGCCTAAAATGTCATTACCTACTCATTTTCGCTAGTTGGCAGTGGCATATAATAATATAATTAATAACATATATAATTATTTAATATTAAGAACATATGTAACGTATACCTAGGTAGAAGGGAAACTCGCAAATATACTTAAAAATATTATATTACCATGTACTTAGTACTTACGACAATTATTGTTATTTATATTATATAAATAAGTAAATTAATTAATAACAAAACACGTCATTATATTTAAACTTAAAATAACAATATTTATAAATTAATAAGTCAATAAATAAAAATTTCTCAAGGATAATAGTCAAAATATTGTAAAAATGTTTTATGGAAAATACTAATATAAATATTTGTTGAAAATGTCAAGGTTCTACAGTCATACATTTTTTAGTTACACCAAAAAAATAAAATCTTTTTCAAAAATTAGTTTTGTAAAAAAGTTAC